CGGTGACTTGTTTTGAACTGTGGAGTAACCATTTAATACTTTTTCAAATCAGTAGATGGCAGCAGATAGCTAAGTACTTTGAAACTGAAAAATTGGATGCGACCACTGACAGCCAGTGGTCGCATCCAATTTTTCAGTTTCAGGTCAGCATTGTGGCGAGAAAGGTAAAATTGGATGCGACCAACAAATGTGGGAGGGAGCGAGACAAGAGCTTTGTGGCGAGTGAGAAGTGAAAGTGATAGAGACGTTTTTGAAAATGAATTATGCCGTTTCTGAACAGGATTAACATCCTCCGCTCTGCCCCGGGGCAGCTGTGGCCGCGTTGTAGTGGTTTAACTATGAAATGTACCATTTTTGTACAACAGCTCTCGTGAACGCACTTCTGAACTGGGTACCGAGCGCAGACCATAGTCGAGTGGACAGAACCACAGACATGCGGACCGGACAGAACCATGGACTCGCGTTCAGGACCTCCCGTGTCCCTCATCCAAAACTCCTGAATTTAAAGCTCGGATACCAAAATGTTTCCCATGCACTAACAATGCATGTTCTTTGTGTGAGTTATTATTTGACTATGGGCAGAGAGTGGATTTTCTTTTATTTTTATTTTATTTTTTTCCACACAGTTAGTGCCACTTTATTCCCAAACTCTTGTTAATTGTATCGAGAAATATTAAATAAAGCTTAATGTCAAGGCCTGGACTTAAGCATTTTGATGAGAATAACTGTATATTGTGAATATAGGCTACAGAGTATACTGTATACATTATAAGATAAGATAAGATATACTTTATATATCACACAGAGTATGTACAGTATATATTTTTACATTAGTACTGTATACATTTTTACATTTTCTCCTGGAGGTGTGCCGCAAGATTTTTTTCAGTGAAAAAGTGTGCCTTGGCTCAAAAAAGGTTGAAAAACACTGGTTTAAAGAGTACGTTTTGTCTAAAGTTTGGTTTAAAGATGTCTTAAGTAGTCTTCTGTCTTTTGCAATGTGATTCTATTTATGCCAAATGTGACATGTACATTTCTCCAGTGTGAGATCAACTAAGTCTATCTTATCTTATCCTGTCTTATCTTAGTCAAACCTTGTGTCAAACCACACAGCTACTGTATGATAGCGGCCCGTTTCTTGTCGAGTTGAACTGCCACATTCGTGGTTTTACTGACATAGGCAGGTGATGCATCCTGAGGCTAACTCGACATCCATCCATCCATCCATTTTCTTCCCCTTAATCCATTTCCGGGTCGGGGGGGGGGTTGCAATCAGAGCTGCACCCAGTACACAGAGCACCAACCCCTCACTGATCCTCCTGCAGGTGGTGAGTCCACAAGAGCTGAGATCATTCAGTGGGAGCTTCAGGCAAAGTAGGGTTAAGTGTCTTGCCCAAGGACACAACGACAGCAGTCATCAGTGGGAGTTGTGAAGTAGGTCTTACGGTGGGCTCAAACCTACAACCGGCAGGTTTGAAAAAAAAATCTCCTAACTAACTCCTTGGAGTCAATTCCTGAGCTAAAAACCCATTATGGAGTCAAACTTTGCAGAACTTCCACTTTCTCCTCGCATGCCTTCCCTCCTCTTCCGCCCAATTGACCGCACTAAAGCATTCATCTCGGCTCAGCCACGCCTGAGCGCACCCCTACGGCCCATACACTCATTTTGCATATTTCAATACGCACTTTACACATGTAGGAAAGACACCAACACGGCTAACAGCTACGGCAGCAAACGACGCAACAGGCCGTCGGATATCGGAAGTGAAAGGTGATCTATTTTTAATCCAAATGAACGAGAATAGATTTGCATTGGACCGAGGCGTGCTAAGGAGTCGGCGCCGGGAGCATGAATTATGAAGGGTTTTGGGGATGACGCCGTGATGCGGTTAGAAGACAATATGTTCTTTTGTTTAGGTCTGTTTGATCATCGCCGCCTGTGCTGATGACTGCATGTGCCGAGCCTGTACATGACAAATACTGCGACCCTGTGCAATGTGCAATACTGCAATTTCAGAAAAGTCCCCTGAATTTCAATTTAACTTTATTTTGAGCACATTTTGACTGCCATGAAACCAGGTGTACAAAATGGGACGAACGCAATTATCTTGTTTTAAAACGGTACAAGAAATGTCTCCCTTAGAATGAGATCATAAAGCTACAGTTAATAATAATGCATTGGTTTTGTACAGCGCTTTTCAGAAAGCTCAAAGAAACTTTCCTCCTTACACCATGTTGATAAACTGCTAAAGTAGCCACAGCTGCCGTGGGGCACACTGACAGAAGCGAAGCAACCAGTATCAGGCCCTCGGACCACCACCCATGCACCACTGAGCACAAGCCATTGATGTAAATAGGCCGCCATCTTGGATCACCGGGGCTTGACGACCACAGACAAGGGCCTATCAGAAGTAAGGGGAAAAACTAAAAGAATTTATCAATTTTCTTGTAAAACTAACTATTTAGTTCTCTCGTGTGCTCCAGTAGTAGACCCGCCCTATTACTGTATATATCAATGATTTCAATTAATACAGTATATTTATGAAGTCTAACTATATGTCACTGTGTTTGTATTTGCCTAAAACTAAAGTTAGTATCATAATAGTGGTAGTAGTAGTTGTAGCAGTAGTATTTCTGCCATATTTTTGAAGTTTTTTTCCTATGTCCTCAGTTTAGTTGAGTTGTTTTTTGCATTAAAGATTGAGTTTTTGAAATACACCATGCTTTTCATTAGCTACATGTTTGAATAGCAGGGTTAGGGGCATTGGGGTTGGAGACATAAACACAGAGGGAACTGGAGTAAAATGTGCCCAACGATTAAATAAAACTCTCTTCAGTCCGTGCTCCTGATTCAACTCACTGCTAATTTACACATCACGCGTTACAGCACGTACGCGTTATACGCGCAGCAGACGCGCGTAACTTTTTTCCATGTTAACCTATGATGATATTTACACTTCTAGCGTTATACGCGCGTATGACGGACATGTGACGCGAAGCTGCGCTCTAATTTAGGATGGATTTCTAATTTTGTGCGCGCACCAACGCGTCTCCCATTGAAATCTCATGTAAAACTTTATTTTTCTAGCGGTCCTTGGCTTTAGATCACATCTGCACGCACACTGCACTTGTGTCTAAACATCAGCAGGAGGAGCAGCAGGTTTTACAGTGATTCTGGACATCGTTTTTTTTCTTTCATAAAGTCTCGCGTCTGGACAAACCAGCGCACAGAGACCATGAAGACAAACACATGCATGTGATTTGTGTTGCTCTACATCAGTCCTCTGGCTCGTACTGTCCTCTACACTGCTCCATAGACTACACAGGGAGAGCATCAGAAGCCGCGGACCTGCGCGCACGGTCAGTGTAGATACTCCAAAAAAATGTTACGCGCAGAGAGCGCGCAGTAAACGCGTACGCGCTGTTTACGCCTACTGTGTAAATCCCCCGTCAGACGGCAGAATCGAAGCCAGTGACATTTAGTCCTTCACATCCTGCCACGTCTCCATGGCAACCCTTTCAACAAAGCTCCGGTGACATTTTGTGCAATGGAGCAGTAAAGGTTTTGATCAAAAACACTTACCTGCCATTGTCGTGTCTTCTCTCTGTATCGCTCGGCGGCACATTCGACTCGTGTGTGTCTGTGTGGGTTTCCTCCAGGCGCTCCGGTTTCCCCCTCCATCCATGACCAAGTGCATATTCGGCCAGACTGCTGAGGAGTGCACTGTACCTTTAACTTACTCTAACTGCCAAACTATATATTTTTGAATAAGTCAATTACACAAATACAGGAAGAAATTATGGTATTTAGAGGTTTCAATGTTGTTAATTACTATAGCAACGGTCTTGTTTTTTGTTTGTACGTGTATGTAGTCCACTGTATGAAGTGTACAGACAGTAAAATAGCCTTAATAAAACCACAAACAAGCTTCAAGAATGAAAATATGAAGTTTAATATTTACATCCCCAACTGTCTAAACCAAAATCTATCCAAAATATTACAAAAAAGGCACTTTCACAGTATTTCTTATCTGGCCACCATAGTATTAGGTCAGGATTTGATTTTTGGTTGCAATTTTGTGATTTACAATACTTTGCACTATAGGTTTGATGTAGAAAATAAAAAAATAAATACAGTTATTTGATTGCACAAGTCAAGTTGTACAAGCTGTAGACCCAAACCCCAGTCTGAGAGATGTCTGGCCATTCAAACCTCAGCTCAATGAAGCAGACTTGCAGCATGGACATTGGCTTCCAGTTTCGTTTTGAGTTGATTTTAAAATGTTACTCTTTGTTTTAAGGCCCTCAATGGTCTCGCCCCGCCGTACTTGTCCGAACTTTTGTCTGTTCGTGACTCAGGCAGATCATTGAGGTCATCTTCTCAACTCCTCATGGAAGTACCTATAGGACTAGGTCTAAACCAAGGGGAGACCGGCCCTTCTCAGTCGCTGGACCCAGAATCTGGAACAAGCTGCCCCCTGATATGCGTGTCCTCACTGATTTTGCCCTTTTTAAATTGAGGCTCAAAACGTATTTATTCAGACTGACTTTTAACAATTTTATCACTCAAAAGCAGGTGACACTAAATGATTTTAAACTGTTTTATTGTTTTAATGTATAAATGTTTTAAATGGATTTTATGTAATTTTATTGTGAAGCACCTGAGTCGCCTTGAGGGATCTATAAATAAAATGTATTGATTGATTGACAGACGACCCAAGCATGAGGAGTACTGATGTATTCTGGTCCGCTTTGGTTCTCTCGTTCTTGTGCAGAAGGTGTGCTGTGGTTCTACTTGTGCAAGATTTATGAAAACATTTTTTTTTTTTAAATGTATGATGACTAATGAGACAAAAATAAATTGTAGGTTCCCGGTAAATTCAAGAGGAGTTGTTAACATGTCTCGTATCAACGTACAGTACAGTTTCAGGTCTGAACTTTAGCTGTAGCTCCATGTTTGGTCCCAGTCTCAGCCTCAGTTCTCTCCACTCTCCTCTGGGTCAGAAGTCCATGTCGTCCCTCTGGTACTGGAGCCGTGGGCTGTTGGGGCTGTAGAACTGACTGAACCAGCGCCGGTGCCTCTGGATGGCGCTGTCCTCCTTCACCAACATCGGGTTTGGGTTGTACCTCTTGTTGTTCCACACCATTACGTCACGTTCAAACTGCAACAAACACAAAAAAAGGCCAATTAAACCTGCAAGCAGCTTACTTACTTTTGTCATGAGCACTGTCTACATGAAGTGAGGGGGTTAAACAGGATTTTGGATGTGGATGGATGTGTGTGTGATCAGAACTTCTTCCTAGAGATTGGATAGATTGGACCATGACTGTGGCCCCTGCAGGACACTCGCCTTGCGGTGATCCACGCGTTGCGCAAGTGACGTCACAATTATTGCATTTGTGCAATAATTGTAAATAATGTACGAAATGAAACCGCATGTGTCACTGTCACCTGCTGCTCACATGTGCAAATGTCCACATACAACTGTCTTGCACAAGAACAGCATTTTATTTCCGCTTCTATATTATGCAAAAGTTGGAGATGTAATTTTATTTTAGTATAGAGTTGTCTGGTGCTGTGTGCTCCTCATTCCTACTGTTCTATAACTGATGAAGCAACACTGAAATGTCCGCACTGTGGCACAAATAAAGGATCTCTTCATCTTAATCTTCATGAAAAATTATCTGCACGTCTGCAAACATGTTTTCTGCTCCACCAGGTGTATGTAGTTCCTGGAGGTCACCTGTATGCACTCTGACAGGAGGATGAACTTGGGGACAGGAGCTGGGACTGTGCGCTGGTAGAAGATGGTGTGAGAGACCAGCTGCAGCAGAGGCTCCAGCGGCGTGACGCAGTGCATGATGACCCCTGACCCCAGGAAGCGGTGGTCGAAGCGGATGAACACCACACCAGGGCCCACCTGCAGCTCACAGGGAGAGAGGTGTGGGTGAAGCACAGGGACGACTGTCAAAGGTGTGGGAGGTCACAGACTTAAGGTAACGTGAAATACTTTCATTCAGTCTCACAAGTAAAGTCTGTGTCTGGTGTGTGTTGGGTGTTGCCAATCAGAGAGAGGGGGTAATGAAGCAACCAGGAAGCACCAGAAGCACAGAGCGTAATCAAAATGAAAACAGTGCTAATGACACAGTAGAAAGTCTGATTTTTTTTGTCTATAAAAGTAAATGGCTTTTCTCCCTAGAAATGCCATGTTATAAAGCTTCTTCTCTCTGACAGAAGAAATTGATCGCTGAGATGCAGGATATCTCCATATAATAATAATAATAATAATAATAATAAAAAAAACAGTATTTACGTCAGCACAAACCATAAATCAAACCAAAGTCATAATTGGTCACAATAATTAACAGTAGAGAGAGGAAAACAAAGCAGATAGAGGGAACACAAGAGAAAAGACAAAATGAAGACAAAGTGAAACAGTAAAACACAACACGTGACGTTTAAAAGAAGCTAACCCTAACCCAGTGGTCTCCAACTTGTTGCTCGGGAGCAACCAGTAGTTCGTCAAACCAAATCAGGTAGCTCCCCAAAGGATTAAGGAATTTGACACATGATCCAAGCTCATAACATTTTGACTCATTGCATGTCTATTTCAACTGTACATATTTTCATTATGTTCACTGACGAAGGGTTTTACAGTATTATGCTACATTTTACATCAGTGCTGCCCATTATTTTTGCAATACATAGACAACAGTTTTATTGCAACAACAACAAAAGTAACTCTCTGCCATTTTTGTTGGGCAAAAGTAGCTATCCAAACAAAACATTTTGGAGACCCCTGCACTAACCCTACTCCATAAAAGTGGGTTTGAAGAAGTGATTTAAAAGAGATGTGGGGGGGGCGACAGTAGCTCAGTTGGTAGAGCATTGGCCTTAAGGCCAGAAGGTCGTGGGTTCAATTCCCACCTCTGCACCTTCTCCACCGACTCCCACTGATGACTGCTGTCGTTGTGTCCTTGGGCAAGACACTTAACCCCACTTTGCCCAAAGCCCCCACTGAAAGATCAAGGCTATGCTCACACTCAGAGAGCAGCCGTCCTCCTGTGGACTCACCACCTGCAGAGGGTCAGTGAGGGGCTGGTGCTATGAGACTTGGGTGGCATCTCTGATTGCCACCCCCCTGACCCAGAAATGGATTAAAGGGTAGAAAATGGATGGATGGATGGATTTAAAAGAGATTGCTCATGGTGCTAGCCTTATCATATGCTAACAACTTATTTCCACACGCTGCTATCCGTGTGAACAAAGCACTTCAATATATATACTATCAAATTGATTGGTTTCACAGCTACGTTTATTTCTTGTATGTTTTTAGCTTGTTTTATTTCTGTATTTGTCCGGTGCACACTGGGGTGGGTACTTTTGCACATGTATTCCAATGGGGTTTTACTGCAATTGGCAAAAACAAACGGAATGTGAATGTAAATAGTTGGGTTTGAGGGTGCGTCTGACCTGGCGAGCCACCACGCTCACGTCCAGCAGAGACCAGTGAAGTCCGAACAGATGCAGGGCGTGCTTCACCAGCATCTGAGAGCAGTGAGAGTGAGGCTCGGGCTCTGGGTGCCACTCCGCCTGAAACAAACACACACACACGCACACACACACGCAAGTTTATTTGTCTAGCACAGTTCACATACAAGGCCATGTGCTCTAAATGCTTTACTAAACAAGAAAGAAAACGACAAAAATAATCACAGTGCATAAAGAAGAGTGAAGATACTTTACCCAGTAACACTGTGAGGAATCTTGGAGTCATTTTTGACCAAGAACTCTCCTTCAAGGCTTATATAAGCCAAGCAACTAAAACGGCGTACTTCCACTTACGGAACATCGCTAAAATTAGGAATTTCCTTCCTAAAAGTGACGCGGAAAAACTCATTCACGCGTTTGTCACCTCAAGGCTCGACTACTGTAACGCTTTACTGGCAGCGTGCCCTAAAGCCTCTTTGAAGAGCTTCCAGCTCGTTCAGAATACAGCAGCTAGGATCTTAACAGGTACCAAAAGGAGGGAGCACATAACTCCGGTGTTAAAATCACTCCACTGGCTCCCTGTGGAGTACAGAATAAAGTTTAAAATCCTACTCTTAACATATAAAGCCATATATGGCTTGGCTCCCTCTTATCTCCAAGACACGTTAGTGTCGTATCAACCAGGTCGAGCGTTGCGCTCACAAAACGCCAGACGTCTGGTGGTCCCTAAGGTCTCAAAGGTCACTGTTGGTGGCAGAGCATTTAGCTACCAAGCTCCTTTACTGTGGAATCAGCTTCCCATTTATGTTAAGGAAGCAGATACGGTCTCCACATTCAAGGCCAGGCTTAAAGCACTTTACTTTAATTTAGCATATAATTAGGTAATATATAATATGTAGTGTATATATTATATATATATGCTGTATTATGTTATATATTATGTTATATATTATTCAATAATGTATTGTGTTATGTTGTATATTATGTTATATATTATGCTGTATGTTATTCTTTATTCAAGGCTAGGTTTAAAACAGTCCTCTTTAGTTTAGCATATGGCTAGGAAGGTAAGACTCGGAGAAGGTTAAACTCCTCAGAGTGTTAGTCAAGCTGCATAGGGAGTCAGTTTGCTGGGAGAAGTATGGTAACTTGAGCACTATCCTCTCCTCCTTCCTACTTTATCTGTTTAGCATTTTTAGGATTCTGACTGTAGTTTGTTCATTGCTATTCACCCGTTGTCCCATTGTCTGTTTCATGGTACGATGACGGGATCTCTGAGCCTGGCCTCCTCCATCTACACCTGCGGACTGCCCCGCCCGACCCGCCTGGGAGTGCTTTGGTCCTGCACCGGACCTGTCCACGTTCAGCGGCCACTGGTCCACGTTCTGTAGCTAGCTTAGGTCCTAGATCATTAGCCTGTCCGTCCGGAGGAGCGGATCCCTTTCTCATATGGGTCTCCCTCCCTGTGGGTTTCCCTAGTGCTCCCCAAGGTTTCTCACGTTTTCCCACTGGGTTTTTTAAGAGTTTTTCCTTGTCGATGCAGAAGGGTCTTGTTGGACAGTTAGTGTCCAACAGAAAGGATTGGTGATGATCAGGACACTTTAGCATTCTACAACATGTATGGACATTTTCTTCTGTGTGTGCTTTATATTCTTCATGTGTTTTAACTGTTGATTCTCTGACCTGTGTTGGTGATTTCAATGGTTTTGTTAAGTCCTCTGAGATGACTTCTGTTGTGACCTAGGGCTATACAAGAATAAATTGTATTGTATTGTATTGTATTGTGTACTTTGGCTATTTCATTTCAACACTTTAGAGCACTGGTGTCAAAGTCAAGGCCCGGGGGCCAGATCCGGCTTTATGATATTAAATAGCAGCATAAATGGTAATAGGCGACAATTGCATGTTCTCCATTACTGAGAAAACAATCATAACATTTAATACCATAAAGAAAAAAAAGATCCCCCAATTTTCTTAGGAAAGAACCGCCCTCTCCACTTTTTGAACAACACCGTCTGGTGTACCTTCAATATTTGGTCCAATTTTGGTTCAGTCCACAGAAACTGAACTAATTCTAATCAGAAAAGAATCTCCAATCTAACAAATGTGAAAAAATATGTCAAAAAATATATATATATAATAAATGAAACCCACTTTTTTTTTCTTCTGCCCCTGATCAGCTCTTTCTTTTTTTTTATTCGGCCCTTAACCAAAATAAGTTTGACACCCCTGCTTTAGAGCAACTGTGGTTAAAGTTAAACTCATCATTCTAACAATATGCATGAGGTAGTACTTTTCCGCTGCATGTTTTGGTGATTGGCAAAAGCTGATTGGAGGACTCCATTCCTCCATGTTGTAATATCACTTGCATTCTGTAACATCTTTGTTCGTGCTGTCTCTACCATCGACAATAAAACAAGTCTCCTGTCTGAATTAAAGACATAATCCCAGACTTTTTCATTTTCTTCAATACAATCCTTAAATTCTATGCACAGCTAGACTAAACAGTTTTAAAGGATCTCTTAATCTGTTAATCTTAATCTTTATTTGGAGTTGAACATTGTCAGAGTAGAAGCCTGTCTCACATTTTCAGGAAGACTGTTCCAGATTTTAGCGGCATAATTCTGAAATGTGGTCTGCTCATGTTCAGTCCTGACTCTGGGTATGTACTCCGAGTAGCCAGTGCAGTGACACAATGGCTGAATGGATAGCACTCTGGGACTACAGATGAAAATTAACAATGTGGCTAACTCTGGCATATTTACATGTATGTAAGTAAGTAATGTTTATTCATACAGCACATTACACATTTTAGAGACGAAGGTCACCAAAACTCACCCAAGTTTTCCATTCTCTCCACACACGGTGAAGACGGCAGCAAGTCGCCAAACTCACTGGTGCATCAAAGCCCCTTTGAGGCTTTGATGCACCGGTTTGTTCGGCGTCTCCTTTCCATTATGTGTGGAGCGAATGAAACAATATTTGAACATTGTAAAGCACTTTGGGTAATCTTAGTCTGTAAAAATCTGCGGTATCAATAAAGATTACATTATTACTAGACCGGAGAACTGGACTAATGAGATTGTAGTCCCTGGTTCTAGTCAGGACTCGAGCTGCAGCGTTTTAAATCTACTGCAGAGACATTTTCTAAGACAGTTTCTCTTCAAAGTACTTCCTGACCCACCCGCCCAACACTTCTACTATGCAGTGGTAAAAATACTCTACATCAATCGTTCCACGGAGGAGTCACCTTCCAGTCGTGCTGCATAAAGTCCCAGGCTTTGTTCTTGGTGTGGCGTAGATCCACTCCGGCGATCATCCCAGGCTGGTGCAGGTGACCCAGGTGAGCGATGTCTGCGGCGTTCTCGGGGATCTCCTGAAATGCAACAAATCAAACTATTACTGCGATGTCAGACCAAAACCACAAGACCGTCTTCATTTCACTGAGCAAGCAGGTAAAGGTCTTCATTTGGATTGGAGGCATTGAGAAACGTGAGCTCTTTGTGAACGTTCTGAATGGTAAAGTGGCTTGCAGAAGGAGTGAACAACATTTTAGTTATTGTCTAAATAGATTGGATTTGCAAGAGTGCTTTGATCATCCCGTCACCTTATCATTAAATCGTGCTGGGCCCAGTTAAAACAGTCATCTATGGTCTTGGCTCCATTCGGTGCTACATTACAACATGAAAACCTTATATTCAAGTGTGGCTTATATGTGGAACAAAATGTACTTTCTCTTCAAATGGAGGTGGTGCGGTAAATACACAGGCTTGTTTCATAGTCCAGCAAGTAGTGTATTAGTAGATCAATTAAAGAAATGATAAGAATAAATATTAGAAAGAGGGTTTCAAATGCGGCGGCAACTTTTTGATCTTGGATAGTAGCAAAATACGAAGAAAAGAGAAAACTCCGCACTGCTACAGTATGGAGTTCCCAAATGTACTTTTTTTACAGACCACAGGTGTAATAGTTCTGAGGCCCTTCATCAGACAATTCTCATCAGATTTAAATATATAAAAAAACGTCAAAAATTATAATATAAAACAAACTAGCAAAACGTTTGGTACTTGTAAGGCAGACATTTCTTTCTTTATTTTTTATGAGTAAGTAAGTAATGTTTATTTATATGCCGCATTTACAGACCAATGTCACCCAAAGCGCTTTTCTATGTTCAGAGTTCAGATATTTTTCCACTCTCTCTCCACACAGTGATGACGGAAGCAAGACGCCGAACACACTAGAGCATCAAACCCCCAACCAACTCCATCATTCACTCACTCAATACATTCATACCTATGGAATACGTTTTTAGTGGTAGGGGAAACCGGAGCACCCGGAGGAAACTTACACAGACACAGGGAGAACATGTAAACTCGACTAAGAAAGGCCCTGCTCTGACCGGGATTAGAACCCAGGATCTTCTTACCAGTCAGCCACCGTGCCGCCCCAGTGGCTGGTGGCTGATGGAGGTTAGGGTTAGTTGTTTTGCTTAGAATGAGCCAGCCATCTATCCATCCATTTTCTTCCGCTTTATCCAATGCTGGGGTACAGACTTTCCTCTCCACACACACGTACTCCAGCTCATCTGGGGGAATCCTGAGGTTTTCCAGGCCAGCTGAGAGACACAGCCCCTCCCCTGGTCTGCTCCTGGTAGAACATCCCGGAGCAGACACGTAACACTCTAATACTACCAGTAGCTCACCAGCCACTATCAGGTAGCTCCCCAAAGGATTTTAAATTTAACACATGATGTTAAATGAATTTGACTGGAAAAAGAAGTAGCTCTCTGCGTTTTCTGTTGTATAAAAGTAGCTCTCCGGTAAAAGGTTGGAGACCCCTGCTCTAATAGTTTTGAAGAAAAGGAGAGATTGAAATATTTGTAGAGACTGACTTGTATGTGCGCGCTGACGTAGTGCTCCGTGCGGCCCCTGTACACCCACTCCCCTCGGCTGATCTCCTCCTGCTCCGGGACCTCCCACTGTGGCTCCTCTCCGTCACAATGGAACCACACGTAGATCTGACCGTTCACCTCCACACTGTGCCAGCGCCCCACTCTGGCAAATTCCGGTACTGCAAAACACATCACAGGGGCATATTAGACCTGCTTTTCGACTTCAGACCATATAAGAATCAAAATAAATATATGAATTAATCGTATTTTCAAGCCCAGTTTGAACTCCACGCTCACACATGAAATGTATTACAAACATTTGCCAGCAAGTTCAAGATTCAAGAATGTATTTGCCATTTGCAGTAAAACCACATTGGAAAAACTGCAAGACTACCCCAGTGTGCACCCCAGTGTACCCCAGATAGTGTATTTTACTTTTCTGATTGGTCAATCCTTATATGGCTCTAATCTGTATTTATAAAGACAATATCAGATTATAAACACCAGGATCTTAGAGAGAGATTTTTAGGCCCAAAATTATGAGTGTGTGTTACTGAGCTATACATCCATATATCCATAGGGAAAAACTTTGTCTATGAGCACTTCCCTGTAGAGCTTCATTGAACTTGAGTGTTAGCATTGTCCATCTGTATACGGTGCATGGATGTGGCGTGAACGCGAGAGCCTGGTCCTTCACCTTTTTGAGCGTACGGGATCCTGGAGCACTTTCCACTGCTCCCCTCAAACTGCCATCCGTGGAAGGGGCACTCCAGGCAGTCCCCCACCACCCGGCCCCCCACCGCCAAGTTGGCCCCCAGGTGTGGGCAGTAGGCGTCCAGTACGTAGGCTTTCCCCTCCTGCCCGCGGAACACTGCCACCTGTTGACCTGGAGGGACACAAGACAGAGACTCATTAGATAGATAGATAGCTTTATTTCAGACTCGTAGTCCAGAACAAAAAATAGACAAGACACAACACACGAAAAAACAGACAATATTAAACAATAAAAGTCCCCAAATCTCTTTAGAGGAGGCAACTATACCAGTGCGACTCATGAACGTATACATTATGTTCCTTACGTTGGCCTGCTGCAGTGTGTTCACGTCTGGGCCTTTTTAGCAACAGTCTGAAGGCATCGTTGAAGGCCACTTTCATTTTCTGTAAACTGGATTTTTTATATTTCCCCCACGGATGAGCGGTGCAAAGCGGGTTGCAGTACGCCCGAAACAAAGCCACTTTTACTGCATCAGAACCAAATTTCCGCTCATTATTCTTTCTTTTTTTCTGTTTTTATTAGGTGATACAAAGACATACAAGAAGTGGTACACAGACATACAAAAAGTGGTACACAGACATACAAATATTGAGACATGGAACATTACCATATGGGTGGGAGGTGTGTGTGTGTGTGTGTGTGTGTGTGTGTGTGTGTGTGTGTGTGTGTGTGTGTGTGTGTGTGTGTTTGTGTGTGTGTGTGTGTGTGTGTGCGTGCGTAAAAAAGAGAAATCATTATCAAGCTCATCAACCAGTATGACCGGTTTGGGTCATATTTAGGAGATTGGGAAGGATAGCACACATATTTTACAATTATTGTTTGTGATTGTCTTACAGTCATTTAGTGCAAAATAACAATGTTTTCTATTTTTATATTGTAATATCATTGAGCCACTCTCAGGAGGAAATCTCACTTTTTTTCCCTCTAGGTTGTTCCTTTTTGCCGATGCAGGAGGGTCTAAGAACACCGATGATCCAGGACATTTATGGACAGTGGTCGTCCCGTTACTTATGGACCAACAGCTCCTATAGTTTGTTATTGTTGCTTTTCTTTTGTTCAACCTGTCTGATTGAACAAGCTTTAACCACTGTGCCACCGTGCCCCAGAGGGTAGAGTCGAGTAGAGTCGAGTAGAGAAGAGAAGCTATTTGACCTGTCGCTGACCCACGCTGCTGATTTGCGACTTTGAGCGAGTCTGATTTCAGGCTCATGAGGATCTTCTGTGACTGTTGCTGAGCAGAAATATCCCTGAAGAGAGTTGGGTTTCTGACTGTGCCTGTTCCAAAGACCAGCCTCAGATTTGTATTAGAATTAAACACACAACTCATTCTGCTCACACAACTGGTTTGTTTAAGGACATCTTTTCAGTTTGTGTTTAAAACCAGCCCAGGCCCAGTTTAAGCTGAGGACTTCACTGCATGTAGGGCACAGCTTTCGAGGAGTCATCGCTAGAATCTAATTTTACCCAGGCCTGTCAAACTGTTGGTCAGACGCCGGATTAAAAAAACACAGCTTCCTGGTGGCGTGGACGTTGCTAACACGGATCAGAGAATCAAACACATAGAGCCATCGGTCCATAAGCGGCAGATGTCCATAAATGTTCATAACGTCACCTCCTTCGTGAGCAACAAACAACTAAAACAAACCCAGTAATCATCCAGACAATGACCTATTCCTCTGTTGTTTTGTGCGTCGCTATGACAACCGCGGTCACCTATAGCTGCACAACAAATCCTGCACAACGTGAACTCAACAAACGGGTTTTAGTTTCACTGAATGTGATTTTGTTTTGTGAGTCCAAGTATCCACAACACAACTTCTGTCACACAATCTCTCTGATATTTGTATTGGACGCACTTCAAATCAACGTCCACGAGGTTAAACGTTAACCTGGACTCTCTGGTAACGCTGTTTACGATGCAGCCCAATGACTGCCACTCCTCATTGTGCTGCATGGACCGGGTTTTCCACTTCATAATTTCAGAATGTGCTGCACGGGAACACATGGTCTGGTGGAGATGTTTGACTTTTGGGAATTGTTGTGTATCTTATTGTATTGTTTTAAGTTATACTGTAACCTGCTGCATTAACTGAGAGGCCTGACTCACTGTGTTTGTGTAACATCTGTGTCTGTGTGTGTTCTGCTCTGAGATTCTGCTGCAAATGAATTTCCTTTTGGGATCAAAGTTTCTGAATCTGTGTTCACTGTCACTTTAGTCACGTCACATTTTAGCCCACAACATCATGCTGCTAACATGTACAGTAGTATCACATGCTGCTAACATGTACAGTAGTATCACATGCTGCTAACATGTACAGTAGTATCACATGCTGCTAACATGTACAGTAGTATCACATGCTGCTAACATGTACAGTAGTATCACATGATGCTAACATGTACAGTAGTATCACATGCTGCTAACATGTACAGTAGTATCACATGCTGCTAACATGTACAGTAGTATCACATGCTGCTAACATGTACAGTAGTATCACATGATGCTAACATGTACAGCAGTATCACATGTTGCTAACATGTACAGTAGCATCACATGATGCTAACATGTACAGTAGTATCACATGATGCTAACATGTACAGTAGTATCACATGATGCTAACATGTACAGTAGTATCACATGATGCTAACATGTACACTACAGTAGTATCACATGATGCTAACATGTACAGTAGTATCACATGGTGCTAACATGTACAGTAGTATCACATGATGCTAACATGTACAGTAGTATCACATGCTGCTAACATGTACAGTAGTATCACATGCTGCTAACATGTACAGTAGTATCACATGCTGCTAACATGTACACTACAGTAGTATCACATGATGCTAACATGTACAGTAGTATCACATGATGCTAACATGTACAGTAGTATCACATGATGCTAACATGTACAGTAGTATCACATGCTGCTAACATGTACAGCAGTATCACATGTTGCTAACATGTACAGTAGCATCACATGATGCTAACATGTACAGTAGCATCACATGTTGCTAACATGTACAGTATCACATGCTGCTAACATGTACAGTAGTATCACATGATGCTAACATGTACACAAGTATCACATGGTGCTAACATGTACACAAGTATCACATGTTGCTAACATGTACAGTAGCATCACATAATGCTAACATGTACAGTAGTATCACATGCTGCTAACATGTACAGTAGTATCACATAATGCTAACATGTACAGTAGTATCACATGATGCTAACATGTACAGCAGTATCACATGCTAACATGTACAGTAGCATCACATAATGCTAACATGTACAGCAGTATCACATGATGCTAACATGTACAGTAGTATCACATGGTGCTAACATGTACAGTAGTATCACATGCTGCTAACATGTACAGTAGTATCACATAATGCTAACATGTACAGTAGTATCACATGCTGCTAACATGTACAGTAGTATCACATGATGCTAACATGTACAGTAGTATCACATGCTGCTAACATGTACAGTAGTATCACATGCTGCTAACATGTACAGTAGTATCACATGCTGCTAACATGTACACAAGTATCACATGATGCTAACATGTACAGTAGCATCACATGTTGCTAACATGTACAGTAGTATCACATGATGCTAACATGTACAGTAGTATCACATGATGCTAACATGTACAGTAGTATCACATGTTGCTAACATGTACAGTATTATCACATGCTAACATGTACAGTAGTATCACATGTTGCTAACATGTACAGTAGTATCACATGATGCTAACATGTACAGTAGTATCACATGATGCTAACATGTACAGTAGTATCACATGATGCTAACATGTACAGTAGCATCACATGTTGCTAACATGTACAGTAGTATCACATGATGCTAACATGTACAGTAGTATCACATGATGCTAACATGTACAGTAGTATCACATGTTGCTAACATGTACAGTATTATCACATGCTAACATGTACAGTAGCATCACATGTTGCTAACATGTACAGTAGTATCACATGATGCTAACATGTACAGTAGTATCACATGATGCTAACATGTACAGTAGTATCACATGATGCTAACATGTACAGTAGTATCACATGATGCTAACATGTACAGTAGTATCACATGCTGCTAACATGTACAGTAGTATCACATGATGCTAACATGTACACAAGTATCACATGGTGCTAACATGTACACAAGTATCACATGTTGCTAACATGTACAGTAGCATCACATAATGCTAACATGTACAGTAGTATCACATGCTGCTAACATGTACAGTAGTATCACATAATGCTAACATGTACAGTAGTATCACATGATGCTAACATGTACAGTAGTATCACATGATGCTAACATGTACAGTAGTATCACATGCTGCTAACATGTACAGTAGTATCACATGCTGCTAACATGTACAGTAGTATCACATGATGCTAACATGTACACAAGTATCACATGGTGCTAACATGTACACAAGTATCACATGTTGCTAACATGTACAGTAGCATCACATAATGCTAACATGTACAGTAGTATCACATGCTGCTAACATGTACAGTAGTATCACATAATGCTAACATGTACAGTAGTATCACATGATGCTAACATGTACAGCAGTATCACATGCTGCTAACATGTACAGTAGCATCACATAATGCTAACATGTACAGTAGTATCACATGCTGCTAACATGTACAGTAGTATCACATGATGCTAACATGTACACAAGTATCACATGGTGCTAACATGTACACAAGTATCACATGTTGCTAACATGTACAGTAGCATCACATAATGCTAACATGTACAGTAGTATCACATAATGCTAACATGTACAGTAGTATCACATGATGCTAACATGTACAGCAGTATCACATGTTGCTAACATGTACAGTAGCATCACATAATGCTAACATGTACAGTAGTATCACATGCTGCTAACATGTACAGTAGTATCACATAATGCTAACATGTACAGTAGTATCACATGATGCTAACATGTACAGTAGTATCACATGATGCTAACATGTACAGTAGTATCACATGATGCTAACATGTACAGTAGTATCACATGCTGCTAACATGTACAGTAGTATCACATGCTGCTAACATGTACAGTAGTATCACATGATGCTAACATGTACACAAGTATCACATGGTGCTAACATGTACACAAGTATCACATGTTGCTAACATGTACAGTAGCATCACATAATGCTAACATGTACAGTAGTATCACATGCTGCTAACATGTACAGTAGTATCACATAATGCTAACATGTACAGTAGTATCACATGATGCTAACATGTACAGCAGTATCACATGCTGCTAACATGTACAGTAGTATCACATGCTGCTAACATGTACAGTAGTATCACATGATGCTAACATGTACACAAGTATCACATGGTGCTAACATGTACACAAGTATCACATGTTGCTAACATGTACAGTAGCATCACATAATGCTAACATGTACAGTAGTATCACATGCTGCTAACATGTACAGTAGTATCACATAATGCTAACATGTACAGTAGTATCACATGTTGCTAACATGTACAGTATTATCACATGCTAACATGTACAGTAGCATCACATGTTGCTAACATGTACAGTAGTATCACATGATGCTAACATGTACAGTAGTATCACATGATGCTAACATGTACAGTAGTATCACATGATGCTAACATGTACAGTAGTATCACATGCTGCTAACATGTACAGTAGTATCACATGCTGCTAACATGTACAGTAGTCTCATGGTAAACAAAAACAATCACACTTTTAGTGTCAGAATCCTCCTGCCTTTGACACATGTAGCTCCTATGCACTGATTACTGTAGAAATCCACCTACTGGAGCTTAGCAAGACAAAGTACAAATTCAGTGTATTGCGTATGAATACTTCTTCTTTCTCTTCTTTCCCAGGGCCTTTCTGAGTGGAGTTTGCATGTTCTCCCCGTGTCTGCGTAGGTTTCCTCCGGGTACTCCGGTTTCCCCTACCACTAAAAATATGTACAATAGTTCTGGAATGTGCCTCCTGTACTGGCCCCTCCCATCTCTGTGTGGAGTGAGAGACAAATGCCCAAAAAATAACAATTGTAAACCGCTTTGAGACTCAGATCTGCAGTGAAAAGGCGGTATATAAATAAAAACTTACTTACTTACTTCTTTTTGAATCAGCATTCATTCAAACACATGTGTGGCACTACGTTGATCCAGCTGAACGTTGTGATGGTAAAAAAAGAATTGATCAGCTAAATTTCACCTGATAAACCCAAGACAGACGGGTCCTGCTCTGTGAATGGATGTTATCTGGGACACATTTAAAAGTTGTACTTCAAATTTAAGATGAAATTTAAGTCTTCAACTGCCTGGTGCTCCCTGTGGCACTTTTGCACATGTATTCCAGTGTGGTTTTACTGCAAATGGCAAATAAACTGAATCTGATCAACCGCTTCACCGGAGTTGTGCCTTTACCACATCAGGGGAACATAAGGATCTTCTGTGAGTTACACTCTGCAGAATCCCTGCTGCAGAAGAAAGACTAATGTGACCAGAGACCAGGGTCAGACACATGTTACTGGGTCACTGTTCCAACCACGAGGTCACACTGTAGAGTTTAGTCCCAACATCTAGGCTTATATGACCCTATACTATATTCACTGCAAAAAACATGCAAAATACAAAAGTTTGTATCTTATTTTAAGTATATTGTGACTATCCTAAAACAAGATTTGCCAATGGAACAATCTGTTTCCTCTCATTTCAAGTGCTGTTGCAATTTATTTCTCATTCCATGAAAGACGCCCCCGCTGAAAGACCAAGGTTATTCTACGATTACGGAGAAGCCCTCATCTGTGGACCCACCACCTGCAGGAGGATCAGCGAGGGACTGGTGCATTGAGACTTGGGCGCAGCTCTGATTGCCACCCCCCGACCCAGAAATGGAATAATAAAGGGGTAGAAAATGACATGACATTCCAAGAAAGATATTTCCAGAATTGTCCAATCAGCAAATCAATGCTCAATTTAAGATTAAAAACACTTGATTCAAGCATGTATTACCTTTGTTTGAGTTCAACTTCAAATACATTAAAAACAGTTTGTTGAAAGGGTCGATGCTAACTTCTAGCAAGTACACAGTGTGTTGATACATACATTTATATCAATGAGAACTCCTCTCGTAAACAAAAGACACATTTCATGAAAAATAATGACAGAAAAAAACTGTTGGAAATACTTTGAAAATGTTCCAGAATACTGAATACATGTTACTTTGGATGTATTCCAAATACTTAGAATACTTTTATTTTGACTTCTTTATATTTATTGTACATTATTGTTGATCAACACTTGTTTATCTTTTGTAAAATAAGTCAAAAGGTTTCAAGAGCTGCCATTTACTGCAACAACAAACAAAAAATCTTCACTTTAAAGATACGCAACGTTTCCTTGTTTTAACCTAAAAAAAACGCACAGTAAAAACAGTATGTATTCTTGTGATTTTCAGAAAGTATCTTTAGTCTAAATACTAATTTAGAAACTCTAATGGAATACAGTTACTCAGAAAGAATATTCTGAATACTTATTGGTGCATGTATTCCGTTACTTCACAGCCCTGGAAATAAACTACATTCAGAATCAGAATAAGTTAGAAAGAGCAAAATAGTTGAGAAATTACACTTCTAAAGCCGTGGACTGCTCTGGGAGTTAGAGTGGAAATGCGTATTCTGTAACATTCTCCCAAACACTGACCACAACAGCACATACCGAGCACCGTGAGGCTGCGCACGTCCCCGCGCTGCAGCAGGTGCGAGTCCAGGACGCGGTACCACCCGTTGGGAAACACCGGCGGCAGCTCCCCGGTCTTCCTCCGCCTGCGCACCTCGTTCACGGCCTGGGCTCTGGAGCGACCCTCGGCCACCACGTACCCCACCTGGTCCGGGCGCCTGAGCAGCTCCAGCGGGCAGAGGAGCATGCGGTACAGCCATCCCAGCAGCAAGAGCGCACCCACGGCACAGAGGCACAGTGCGGGGCCCCAACGCGCGCTCTGGAGCCACAAAGAGTCGTCCAGTGGGTACAGCGGGTCCATGTCACCGATCTGCAGGGACCCCCCATGGGACACGAACACGACCCCCACCGCGAGAGCCAGGGCCGTGCACAGTCTGCCCCAGGGAACAGCCTCCATCCTGCTGCGGGACTTCAGGCCGGGGCCACACCGCCTGCGTGCGAAGCGCTGCGTAGCTGGCAACCGTTGATTTTTTACTTAGCTCTAATTGAAGCGGATTGGAAGTGGCCACACTGTCCGCGCATACCACGCGCGAGGCACAGCGCGCTAGTGGCGCCACGCGTTGAGAAGATAGAATCAATCCTATTTTTGGGGGCGTGCGTCAAGCGCTCGTCTAGTGTCCCGAAGGAAAGACTTCTAAAATTGATGAAATATTATAATTCTGACATATACATGGGCATATAACTTTGTTCGTAGTCTAAACTAAACAGCTAGCAGGAGAATGACATTTTAGACAATATCAATAAAACTTCATTGATATAAATATTTGTATTAATTTATTTATAAAACGCTTTTCATAGGCTACAACATAACATTCAAAGTGCTTTACAGATTACCCATTTCTTTGATCACAAGAGGTCTTGTCAGCACCAAGAAATCAAGTCCACACAGCACTGGTAACTGAACAAGGAGTGAAAATGTTTTACCTGTACTCACTCCTTAGCTTCTTTGTTTCAACAGACTACTTCCTATTGGTTAATCAAGTTCCACACAGAGATACAGCCTACTACTTAACAAAGGACCAAAAGACTCAACATCCCCCAAAGCAACTTCGGTGTGAACATATGCAAATTTGTGTAGGGAAGGATTGGGAGGTCCTAACGCAACAGATTCAGGGTTACTTGGAACATTATGAATACATACAAGGCCAAGACATTCATATCCAGCATTAGGACACTGCACACCTTTTGAGACTTTTTACACAGTCTATGTTGATAGTACGCATGGTCAATGTTGCATCTGTACAAAAGGTGGATTTCCATGACAACAGTAAACAACTTTCCCGAACTGTGTTGTAATTACATTTAGTTAATAAATCACCGTTCAATAGTCACTCAAACAATGTTAATACAGGACGAAAGCGAGCGTTGTGATATTATATAAATTAGATATGCCATATTTCATAAATGTGCATTGATTTGAAAGGAAGCCTGTTCTCCTTTGTGGGGCGGTACAACGCTGCTGCTGCTGCTGCTGGTGTGGCCACTCTTGCGTCATCGCCCCACTCTGTTGACGAACGCAAGCAACGCGTTACTTCGCACGCCGGCGGTGTGGCCCCTACGTGAGGCTCTGCGCGCTGCTGCTGGAGGCGCTGGAGGCTGCTCCTGATATAGACCGCGCCCACTCACCTGGACCGGACCAGAAGCACCAGACCAGCACCGTACCAGCACCGTACCATGACCACTGTACTTTGGAAGTCCATGCAGTTACAGAATAATACTTCACTTAAAGCTGGGGTACCTGACTTTTTGTCCTATAGGAGACAAGACTAGATCCAAATGTGAAAGCGGTCAAAACTTGTGGCATTAAATCCCGTCTGATCTCTTATGCTAAGCAGGTCAGGGCCTGGTTATTACTGTGATGGGAGACCTCCAGAAACACCAGGTGCTACAGTGGAGCAGCTGCGATTGGAAAAATGTTGTTGTGTCTGTAGGCAAGATAGTCCGGCGAGTCTGGTGTGTGTGTGAATGGTTGTTGATCATATGGAGGGGGCAATACCAATCAATCAATCAAATTTATGTATAAAGCATAATTCATACAGTGTAATCCAAAGTGCTTCACAAGCAATTAAAAACAAACAAAAACATAAAAACCGTGTATATACATATAACACATATTGTATTAAAAAGATAAAAGTTACAAACATTTAAAAAATGAATAGATGCTTCCGATTAGTCATATGCATTCCTGAATAAGACAATTTTCAGCCTGGACTTAAACATTGCCAGGGGCGAGGCCTGTCTCACAAGCTCAGGGAGACCATTCCAAATTCTGGCCGAATAGACTTGAAAAGCAGCCTCCCCATGTTTAGTTCTGACTCTGGGCACTAACAGGAGTCCAGTCCCTGTGCTCCTCAGAGTCCGGGCTGGTTCATATGGTAATAACATGTCACTAATATATTTTGGTGCGAGGCCATGGAGAGACTTGTACACAAGCAGAGCTGTTTTAAAGTCTATTCTCTGAGCCACAGGAAGCCAGTGCAGGGACCTGAGGACTGGACAAATATGGTCTTTTTTTTTTTTTTTTTTTTCTTTATTTCTTATTTGGTGTCTTGCACCTAAAGATGCCCAGCCCGTATGGGCTTATAAGACACAAAAATGTAGCAGACATCAGAAAAACATCAAACAAAGAGTGTTCTCTTCTGTTGGAGCCATGCACTTAACAAAAACTTAGACAAATGAAATGGCTTATACTTGAATAGAAACTTAAGCTTTTCCTCATCAGACAGTTCAAACAAAAGTTCAGCAACATCAGACAGTTTGCAAAATAATTGCCTTCTCAGATCATGGTACAAAGGACAATAAAAAACAAAATGCAATTCATTTTCAATATCATTTAAGTGACACAAACAACATGTCCGCTCCTCCTCTGGGGCCGAGTGAAATCGTCCTGTCTCTAGAGCCAGGGGCAGGGTCCCAGACCTCAGTTGAGCACAGACTGACCTCTGACCTCTGGTCAGGTTCAGGGTCACATAGGGCTCAGGACCAAAATGATCCTTTATCAAAACATAAGTTCTCAGTTTTGGCTTACACAAGACATTGATTAACCATTTATGTTTATACTTTTCAAAATAAACTCTTTTAAATTCTCCAACACTACAACGCAACTTGTTTCTGAAAATAAACTGGAGATCAGCATCAGCAAAAATTTTCTCCATCTGCACACTCCAAGCATTTCTATGAGACAGGTCCAATTTAAAGATGTGTTTGGACAGTCTTGAGTCAGACATGTTGATAAACCTATTCCATAACCGTACCATGTCACACACATGCCTTACTTCACATGGTTCCCAACCCAGGTCCCCGTACAGAGCAAGTTTAGGGGTGTTTTTATGAACAGCTAGAAAGTATCTCATAGCTCTGCATTGAACTTTTTCACTGTGCGTCTGTTTAGAGTAACCCCAGACCCCAGCACCATAGTCCAACACCGGGCACACACACGCTCTGTACAGCTCAGTGTAGGTCTTATAACCCAGATCACGACACGCCTTCACTTTATTTATAACAGCACCGAGAGCTCGACCTGCAGATTCAGAGAGTGATTTAATCCCTTCATCAAATGTGAGATGTTCATCTACCATAAATCCCAGATATTTTTACTTTTTAGTAAAAGAAAGAATTGTATTGCCAAAACAAAATGTAATGTCTGATAATGCCTGGGTACTTCCTCTGAAATGCATAACTTGAGTTTTATCAGAATTTATCATCAGTCTCATTTTGTTGCACCAAGCATGAACAATATTCAACATTTTCTGAAGGTCTGATTCATTTTCGGCGAATAGCACAATGTCGTCCGCATACAACAGAATACAAAATTTCAAGTCTCCCACATTAATGCCCACATCTGCCTCTTTTACTTCATTTACTAAATCATTAATGTATATAGCAAATAATGTGGGAGACAGAGCATCACCCTGTTTTACGCCGTATGGTGTTGGGAACCAGTCAGTGAAGTGGTCATTTACTTGAACACAAGAGATTGGATTTTTATAAATAGCTTTAACTGCGTCATAAAATTTACCATCAATTCTCTTTTCTTGGGCCAAGTTTATTCACCAGACTCCAAAATGATTGGGGGTTATGAGTTTGATTATGTTCAATTTTTACAGCTAGTCCTCTTTGATATCTTCTCTTGTTCGCTCGGAGTCTTTTATCAAATTGGTGTTGTTTATTTTTAAAAACATATTTTAGCTGTTGTTTATTTATGCTATTGCACAGGAGATATTTCTTCTCAGCCAGTCTCACCCCTTTCCACGTTGTAGATAATTCCTTGTTCCAGTAGGGTTGATTTGTTGTTTTATTTTGTTTTCTAGTAGTGCACTTAATGATGCCATGAGATTTACCAATATCATACATTAATTGACAAAAATCTCCATACACATCATTCATCAAATGTTCATGATTTACATGGGTCAAATGATCTACTAATTCTGTGACTGCAGACTGAAACCTGTCATTTGTAAAGAGATGATGGGGGAGATTTCTTGTGTTTCTTTGTTTGTATTGTTTAGGCTGAACATTACTTGACACCACAGGGTTTTGCCTTCCTCTGAAAGTTAAAACTAACAGAGAGCGATCAGGCATTTTACAGCGATAGTCCAATAAATCAAAATAGGACACATTTCTGTCAAGAAGCTCGTTTGGACTATAAACATGTAAATTACAGGAGGTGTACAGGCAATCATGAGTTGTGATAATGTAATCCACCACTGCTCTTCCTTTCACAGATACAGAGGTGAAATTATCCTTCCCCAAAATGCGACCATTTAGAACACAACATTTGCTGTCTCTCAAAAAATCAATCAACATTTCCCCTTGAGAGTTTACAATATCATCTATCACAGTCCCTCTAGGAGGAATGGATAAATCAGAGTCACTGATCCAGTCCGCCAAGTGTCCAATCCGACTATTAAAATCTCCACAAATATATACTGTGTCCATTTTAACTAAATCATACATTTTAACCAAAAGAGCGCTGTACAGTCTCTGTGAGTCAGACCATGTGGATCCTTCAGGTGGAAGGTAACAGGAAAGCAAAGCCAGGGAATATTTAGAGATCACATGCTTAAGATTTATACATATTACACCCTCGTTAGATCTATCAACAGAGAGTACATCAAACTCTTGAAGAGTATTGTTTTTAATAAAGATACCAACCCCTCCAGAGCCTTTTTTAGCTTTGATATGAGTCCTCCTGTTATGCCCAAACCATGTATAACCATTAATGTCAATAGTGTTCTGTCCAATTAAATGGGTCTCATTCAAAGAGATAAAGTTTGGGTCATGACTCAATAAGATACATCGTCTAAGTTCAGAGTTTAGGTCGGTCCATCCATTTACGTTCCAGTGTACAAGCGTGTAGAGCTCACTCACGGGCTGGGCTGCAGACCCTCAGGTAGC